CTACAGGTTCTAAGCACCTATTTCTGAGAATTTGAGTTGTTGGCACAGTGGTGGTAGGACTAAGAATCAGGGAATGAGAATCAGGGGGTTGAGGTTTTAGAACTGGCTCAAGTGCTTCCTGGTGCTTTGGATAACCTGTCCAGACTTCCTGTGCCCCCACTTCCTTACATGGCTGTCATCATAGCAAAGTGACCTCACAGAGCACTGAGAGAATGCACATCATGATTAAGAAAGCATTTGGAAATTTATGATATCTTAAAAATTAAATGTCTGTTTGAAAATGGACCTAGGATCCTTCTTTACCCATTCTAACGTGTTCTTATTTGAGCCCTTTTATGTCTGATGCTATGTCCTTTGTCCCTTAATTCTGACTTCTGGCCCTTAGTTTTTCATGGTTGCATTGGGATTTCATTATCTGAACTTTGGCTGTCTCTCATGATCTCTGCCTCTTGGTTCCTTAGGTTGTCTCTTCTAGGAATCTTTTGCTTCCATTCTTGCTCAGTCAAATGCAAATCTCACTTGAGGACTATATGACTGTCCAGGTTGAATCAGCCCCAGGTACCCCCTGGAAAAATAGTTCAACTGTGTTCTGATATTTTAACTGGGCTCTCAGCCTTTTGGGTTTTTTTCTTCCAGTTTACTATCAATGCAGCCTTTTAAAAACACAAATCAAATCAGACCTTCCATTTCCTCAGTAAATTTATGCAGTGGTTCTTCATAACCTTCAGGATAAAGCCCAGATATTTTAATCTCAAAACCTAAGACAGTAAGCTAACAGAAACCACAGGCTCAGTGAAACAGTGATATGCATTTCTCCACACTTCTTAGGTTGCATAGTAAATATATATATATATAGTGAATATTTTAATCTGTTTTGGAATTTCTCAGAGAAATAGAGTTTTATAAATCACTAATTGGGTGTTTTGGGAGGAAGAAAATAGAATTGAGTAAATGCTTGCTAATGCTATATATATATATAAATATCAGTACTGGGATTAACACACCATTTGAAAGATCAGTACTTTACATATCTTATACATCTGATTTAAAATTTTGAGTTATACATATCTAGATTGCACCTAATGTTTAATCAATTGGACACTTAAATAATTTGTTGTCATACAGAGATGAGCTTTGCTTTTCATGCAGTGAGAATAATATTTTTATTTTAACATTTATGCAATTGATTACAAATTTTAGAGTGTCATAATTTAAGTGGATCTAAACAGTCCATTAGCCACATCAGCGCCTACCCTCTTGCCAAACCATAGCTTTATGCTAAGCCATTGTGTACTGTGTTACATAATCCCCTGCATTCATTTTCTCTACCTATTCAGCTTGAATGCATACAAGGTGACTGCATTGTCTCTTTAACCTCCTTCCCAGTGTAAACACTAAGTATAGAAACACAGATTTTGGGCAGTATTACATTTTCCTAATGGAGAGTTTGGAGAATCGAATGGGCTTAGAAATATGGGCTTGCCACTATCTGGTTTCACACCTTTTCAGTTGTGTTCACTGTCAGTTTAGTATGGTTTTCAAGGTAATAAGAAAGTGCTCGAACCTTAGCTACTGAAAAGAAATTAAGACAGATTGGGATCTTTGAAGAAAAAGGTCAGTTGTGAGAGTATTCAAAGGAACAATTTCTTCAAGCTCCTCACTCTGTCTCCCACTAAGCCCCTTATTTGCTCCTTTAAAGAGTGGGCCAGGCACTGCCAATGTCTCTCTTCCCCGTAACAATCAGGATAGTGTCCCATGACTTACAGATCATAATCCTGCTTATCTAGAGTATGATTCAGAGAGTATCTTTCAGTTGTCTATTGTTTGTTGACAAGTGAAGGGAAGTGCCCAGCATCAGGGGTTCCTTGGTGGCCTCCTCCAGCCCAGGTAAGAGATAAACTGGAAAAATTCATCACTGAATGGAGAAATGGGGGAGGAAAACTGTTGCAGCAGTTTTCATTTGATACTTGTGAAATAATGCACTGTGCTATCTTTGGCTAATTTTCTGGCTAATCACACAGCAGAAAGATGTATGTGATTTACATAGACCCTTTTTCTCACCTTGGTTTTATTTCTTGTTTATTTCTTGTAATATTATTTTCTCTACAATGATGTCATTTTTCTTCTATGGTCTTCCACATCAAACAAGTTCTTTTGTTTTAAACACACCCAGATTCCAGGGGAGGAAGGGAACCATTTTTTTTGTTGTTGAACAAGTGCGATTTACATAAGGTGGAGGGAATAGGTTTTTGGCCTCTTTACGCACGGTTCGGGATGGCTTATAGGTTAGTGCACAGATCCATGAAATTATTTGTGTTCTTTGAGAAGTAGAATAGGAGCATATGGTAATATATAGAGTAATGGGCAAAAGGAAATGTAACCGATATTTATTTATTTATTTATTTATTTTTTAAACTGATATTTATAGAAAAGTCCAGAGGCACTGGAAGTCCAGTATAACACAAACTGTCTTATGCAACACACTTATTCCTAGTTGCTAGTTTCTTCCTTAATAAACAAGGGCATTAAATTGGGCAATCTCTGGAATCCCTTATAGCTCTAAAATTTATTATATTTACAGACTCATTGGTCTAATTATATGAAACATATTAAGCACCACATAGCATATTAAATAATATCCTGGTGCCTTGCTGTTCTGTGTCAAACCTTCCCCTGTTAAATGGTATGTGTGATTAAGCTTCTCTTTGGAGGCCTCCTTTCCTTGCTCATTTATCTCTGTTCAGTAACTTAAATGTTTATAGAAGACACCCATTAATACACTGTGTATGGTGCCAAGGACAGGCATAGTAGTTAGCTCTGTGCACATTTGTCTGTAGGAAAAGAACTTAGTGGTGATGACTTCATCTGACTTATCATCTTCTACTCAATCAGTCTCACCTCCAGGGCTACTGAACAAGGCCTTGTCCAGGTATGTTTTTAAAAAGCCATTTCTTCAGAAATGAGAGGAGAGATCATGACAATAGAACACTTAGGGTGCTGGTTGCATCCATTTCAAACATACAGATAGTGTGAAATTTCTACTCTATGAATTTTGGGGGCTATTTTGGTAAAATGCATGAGGCATAGGTTATGTGCTGAGTAGTACTTAATCCTAATAGTACTTTGTAAGTGGTCACTTTACAAGTGGTCATTTATAAGTGGGCAGACCCCTTTTGCTTATACCAGTGTGTGTGTGTGTGTGTGTGTGTGTGTGTGTGTGAAAACATGAATATGCAGGTATTCACATGTCACTGAGGCCATCAAAAACATATGGGGCAAACTTCATCACTTCTTTAACTTTCTAGAGTATTAAGTTGGGGGTTCCTGTTTTAATGATGTCATGATGCTATGATTAATTTAATAGTATGTAGTTGGTGGTCATCTCTCCATATTATAAAAGCGACTCCTTTATAACTCTTATCTCATGATGAGGAAATATTTATTTTATTTTACTTAAGTGACTGACCATGGGCTGTGAGGGTTGATAAGGATTTGAATTGAGATGGACCTGGTTTTGGTTGGTAAGGCTGAAGTGTCATTCTAGAAGGGAAAATAGAATTCTCTCAACCTTATTTTGTAGTCCCCACTCCTTAGAGGGAAACTGAATATCTAACCTTGCATTTTTATACATTTCCTTTTATTAATGAGGTTTTTTAGGTAACTTTTAACCAACTCAAATAGGAAGTCAGCTGCTCTAAGTGAGACTGCTAGACCACAGGATAAATGGAAGTCCACACGTAGTATATTGAAATTATAGGTCAAAGCAACAAATGATTAAATAAAATATATTTCATCCTCTTATCTTGAAAAATATACCTTTGAAATGACCTGTAAGCTATGTAAGCTGGGTTTGCATTTAGAATTTTCAGGTTCTTCAGAGTTCTGCATTGGGAAACTATGCAGAGAGAGAGCCAGCCTCTGCGTCTTCAGCCTATGTCCTATCCACTCCTCTTTCCACCTTTGGCTCCATTCTGTCTCACAAAGGAGTCTAGTGTAAATGCATGTGGATGCTCTAGCCCATGAGGTCAAGTTCTCCATCCAAAGCCTTGCAAAAGGTCACCTATTGCTAATCCTCAGACAGTGAGGTATGCATATTGACAGCATGATTTTTTTTTTCCAGAAAATAGATCCAGGGGAGAGGCTTGCACAAGCTCTGAACACAGACTTGGGTCTCTTTGGGTAGGGGATTTCAAAGTCCTGGTGTCTGGAATATGGTCTCTGAGTGTATAGCTCCAATAGAATGTCACCTTGGCCTTGTGGGCTCCTACTCTTGTAGGGAGAGATGGTCTAACCAGGGCCACCTAAAATAGAGACCCCCAGAGCAGAGGTCCTTTTGTGTCTAAGGGTGGTAATGCTGTCTTGTCAAAGCATATTACCAAATTTCATTCTGTTCATTTTCCTCATTTGTTTGATCACCTTCTCAGGTACAACCTCCTATTTACTAACCCAGTCATGTTCCACTGGGCTTAGAACTCAGTGACATGGAACCCAAAGTTAACTGGGTTACTGATGGATCCCAATCAGAGCCAAATCTTTTGGGGCAATTGATTTTTGGTTTTTCATCAATAAATGTTACCTAGAGCTAAAACTCTCTGTCAGAACACATAATTATCCATTCTAAACCAGCTCTTCTACAACCATTTAAGGGCCATAATTGAAGCAAAAGCAAGGTAGACCTTATTTTACCATTTTGCCTGAAATTTCCCTGTAGGTTTGTTTCTGAGAAAATTTGAAGAAAAGACAGCCAGCTCTCCTATGTCATTGTGTTGCTCTTCTATCCTTCTGTGGACATAGAGCTTCTCTGCAGTTTCCTTCTCTGCCTCTTTTCCTGGTGCTTAGATATGAGTCTTGTGGGGAAAGTTGGAGAGAATGTAGAGTTGGTGTCAGCCCAGTGGTGGGGCAGTGCCCTGGGGGCATGTTCTTCTTGGTATTTGCAGAGATCTATCTGACTCATGCCAGACAAGTGTTGATTGACTGCTTCCCACCTTTTACTCCTGCAGCTCGAGAGGAGAATGTGGCCACTTTCCGAGGCTCAGAGTACCTGTGCTATGACCTGTCTCAGAACCCAATCCAGAGCAGCAGTGATGAAATCACGCTGTCCTTCAAGACCTGGCAGCGGAATGGGCTCATCCTGCACACGGGCAAGTCGGCTGACTACGTCAACCTGGCTCTGAAGGATGGTGCGGTCTCCTTGGTCATTAACCTGGGGTCCGGAGCCTTTGAGGCCATTGTGGAGCCAGTGAATGGAAAATTCAATGACAACGCCTGGCACGATGTCAAAGTGACACGCAACCTCCGGCAGGTAATGCTGAAGGGAGAGAGCGCTCAGGGGCTTGTCTTAGGTAGTCAGGGAGGAAGTTTGTGAAGCAGATGATGGATGAGGTGGAGAGGGTTATAGATATGGGTTTGGATTTGTTGAAGTCTAACTTTCTCCCAGTCTTTGCCATTGCAGAAGAAAAATTATTAAAATGTGCTTCTCTCTGTGCTTCAATTCTCTATTTGTGCTTGTTATTTAAGAAAAAATTCAGTTGTATAGATAATAAAAGTTATAAGCACTTTCATTCCTTTTTTTCTGCATTCCTTTTAATCATTTTCTTAATTACACATTTGAATCTTGTCGTGTTATTGTTAAATTCAATTAGAGACAGTGTTTTGTTTTTGCAGCTTAATAGGTTTTCCTCATTCTTTGTATATGTTTTTCCTTTTAATTAAGTTAGCCATTGCCATGATGCCATAATTTTAATTCCCTCTAGAAAAGTCTTCCTTTTTCTCTTCCTTTTCATTTACAGCCCCTCACCCAATTTTATTTTTTCAGTTGTTATGTTAACCTCTAGCCTTGGAATGAATTAGCTGGAATCTTTCTGAATTCCTCTGTTTCTTTGTTCCTTGGTGCGGTGTTCCTACTTTATTGCTCATGCCTCTGCCTCCAAGACTCTTCAGTTGATTGGGAGGCCTGGAAAGTGGAAGGACCCAAATAAAAATATCAACTTTGGAGCAGCCTTTCGTGGTTCTGTCCGTGCTTGAGAACTCCCATCGCCTGCTGATTCTAAGTAGGCAACTCCGTCAGGTGACCACACGCTCAGAGAGCTTCAGCCCAGTGAAGTTGTTTCAATTTCATAACTAACAGTAATAGCAATAAGAATACCTAAGCAGCCTACTTCAGTTAAAAAAGAAAGCTTTTCCCATAAAAGTCAAAATCTGTGCTGAGACTGCCTTTTCCAGGTTGCTATTTTCACTTGGTTTTTCTTCTGGAAAATGTGTCATGAGACCCAGTTGGGCAACATTCATCCTTTATTAATCAGAAAACATGCAAATTTCTAGATAGTTCTTATCAAATTTTCTTCTGTGATATGATTGATTCAGTGCTTTTGAATGTAAATATGAATCATAAGAACTGACAGTGTTTGCATGTGTTTTCTGATTGATAAAAGTATAACTCCTTAATAAAACTAAATAAATGGAGAAGGCTCACACATATGGGAAACACACAATAATTAAAACACCCATTTCCATACTTAAGTTTGACAAGAAAGCCACCTGGTTGGGAGATTCTAATCTATCTGTGGTGAAGTTGCCAAATAATGCAAGACTTAGACTCCTCCAGTCATCTTCATAAATGTAGATTGAACATTTTTGAATCACTATTCTATTTTTTCTTCCTCCAAGGCCAAAGAACCCTATTGCTGATATTTTTTATCATCACCCCCCATCTATACTTAGTCAGAAGAGACCTTCTCAACTGTCAAGAGAGCCCAAGTCAAATTTCCATTTGCTAAAATACAAGAGCTTAATATAGTTGAGCTGTAGGTCTAGACCAAGTGAAATATGACCTTTTTCCAGTTTTGACTGACAGGTACACAGTAACCCCCTTTAGACATTCATCAGTGGAGGGGAGAATTTTCATGTACTGAGGAGCAGAATCGGGCTGTGGTTCTCTCCAATAAAACTATTTTTCTAACTCTCTCCTAGTTCCCAGACTCCCTTGGCATTCTAGAAATGATTCTAATTAGCTGGAGAAAGGCTTGCTTTTATCTCCACTGTAAACGCTTTTCCAAAATAGAATTGGGCCTCAACTCAGTACTTTAAACTGAAGGTGATAAACCAAACTGTAATTCTGATATTGGTTGTGCTGTTGAATCAGCAAGCAGAGGAAAGAAGCCCCTGAGAGTTTCTCTTCCAAGTTCTAGACCCAAGTCTTCTCTGTGCCCTTGGACAAGCCATTGAACCTTTCTGCACCATGGTTCCCATTTGTGAAATGGTGATTACAATCCTCCCCAGCCATGTGCAGTGGCTAAATATGCAAAGTACTGTACTTTATGTTTCAGAAGGATTATGAGCTCATCCATGGTCTGTTGCTAGACTCACTGTGTGACATGCAAACTATTTACAGGCTGAGTATTTTGTCACTAAGGTGACTATGTCTGTCACTAAATGTGTAGAAAAGCAAAGCTCTCAGTTCTAGATGAGGCCACATAGAGGCCCTAGGGTATTGAGGCATTACTTGACAGTGGGAGAATGAATCTTCTAGAGAAAATATGCCCAAGATAGGACCTCACTGAAATCCTGACTGAATTTTGCAATCTAAACGCAATCTATTGAAAGAAGGAAATCTCAGAGGAGCAGAGTTGATTTATAAATGCAATCCTTTCAACACTGAATCATTTAATATTATTTTGCCCATTAAAAATACATTTAGAACATACTTTTGTGTTCCCTAGGATACATTTGCAGGGGTGGGAAGCTCCTATTTCAATTAAACTGTAAACCACTTCATAAATATTTGATAACAAGCCTCTGGCCCTCTCATCTACTTTTTTTGGTAAGGTTGAATAGCTTCTGTGGCAAAAATTCATTTGAGGAGCTCATTACCAGATGGAGCAGAACTTTCCCATTTCTTCCTTCTGGGTCATCTATTCATGGTTCTGCCTTTGAACCAAGTCTAGGCAATGGCCAGCACTTTATTGGGAGTTCTCATAAAAGGAAGGAGTGGGGACTATCTGTTCCAAACCATAACTGAGATTAGGGACCAAGATAGTAATGTATTTCTATGGAATTTTTTGCTTTTGGCTTTGCTTTTTTGTCCATGACCTTGCCCAAGTGTAAGGTCATGTCCATCACATGAATTTCTTTACCTCTGTATGTGACTTTTGTTAAACCACAAACATGAAACTGGTAACCCAGTCTCCCAGCCTTCCAGCCTTCCAACCTCCCAACTCAGGTGTGTTGGCAATTTAGCATTAAAAAATAGCAAGGAGGAGACTAATTGTGGGGCCTCTGTTCTCATTTTAACCTGCCAGTCCTCTCTGCTAGCCATATAAAAAAATTGCTTAAAATACTTAAAAGCTTGAAAAGAAAATCTTAAAGAGGAATGGTGTGTGTGTGGGGGGGAATGGTGTGATCCCAACAGGCAGAATTTTGGCAAAGCAAAAAAAAAAACCAAGAACCCCCAAAACAAACAAAAAAACACACACAAAACAAAACCAAACAAAAACTTCATTGGGTAATAGAGAGAATCCAACTATTTTGATGCATTCTAACCACACAGTTATTCTACAATCAAAGGGGGAAAAAAAAGAAGAATGTTACCCTCCTGCTGCACAAATCCATACAAAATCAGATCTTTACATTACCTGTGGAATCCTCGAGTAAGGTACATGATGTAGCCTTCCTACGTTAGATGTGGCTGGTCAATATTTTAAGTTATTTCTGTTCTGGGAAAAAGTCATGGTTGTCTGTGCATGTAGTCAGAGTCAGATGTAAACAAACAAAGAAAAACTAACGTATTGGTATTTTGGCTATATTTATCTACATGTGGCATGATAAACTTTGGGGGTCTTTTCTTTCAGGACAGGTGGAATATCTATTGCTAGAGGGTGGGAATGAAAAGGGGGTGGTGTTCTTTCAGAAGAGCCCTTGGAAAGTAAGTATAATACTCATTCTAACTGGGGTGAGGTCTGATTTGGAAAAAGCGGGGAGTTAAAATGACAAGGTGGACTGTACCTCCTTTCCTGGCTGTGTCCTGGGTGCCAAGGTTTTCCATAGAGTCCTGGTCTCATTGTCTTCCCCACTCTCTTTTTCTGTGTTGGGTGCCTTTTTTTTGAAAAAACTAACACAAGATCATTCATGCAATGTGTCATTTTACTAACCGACTAATGTACTAACACCCTAACGACTCATCTTTGTTTTTTAGTTTTTTTAATTAACAATCGTTCTGTTCACAATTTTTAATTTCCTTTCTTCCCCCTTTTCCGCAAAGCACTCAGGCATCGGACACGCTATGGTAAACAAACTACATTGTCTGGTAGATATCATTCTTATTGTCTCTTTTTTTGGGTTTGCCGTGTGTTGCCCCTCTTTTCCTCCCCAACCTCTCTTTTATCCTCTTTAGACTTTCTCCTTCTTTAAAAATTTTTGTTTAATTAAATGCCCATTTTTTTTCTTAAAAAAATAAAAAGAAAGGGGATGCTCCTGTCCTACAGATGATATTTGGATGAGTTTGGTTGGAATGATTTTATTTTCTCCAGTTAGTTTTTTTTCTTTTTCAAAAGGCATTTTTTTAAGGAAAGTTTCTCCATTTAGCTAAATTTGTTTTGTTTTGTTTTGTTTTGTTTTGTTTTTTTGTTCTCTTTTGCAATTTTGAACTTACAGACTAAGGACCACAGGATTTATATTGAGGACCTTCCTAATGTCTGAGTCTTCCCTTCCCTCACTCTTCCTCCTTTCTTTGATTCTCCCCATTCCTCAATCCCTGCTTTCTTCCCTGTTTGTGTGGCAATGGCTGCCACAGGTGATCTGGGGAGGATAGTACTCTGCTCCTTGTATTCTTCTTTTCCCTTCTTTTACCTTACTCCCCACCATGGCCAAAGGGAGCTTCACCAATTGTGTTCTCTGTCCACACTCTGCATGGCATGTCCCTGTCTTGTGGATCTCCCCATTGGCATCTGATTTTGTTCCTTCGTTTTATTCTTCATTACTAACAACCTACCAAAATTTCAACTGAAGTCCACTTTCTTCTCGCTCTCTCTGTTTTTTTTGTCTCCACTCTTTTTAATTTTTTTCTCATTCTTCATATGTTTGGGGGTTGGGTTTGGACTTTTTCTTTTCTTTTTTTTTTTTAGTGAGGGAGGTGGCAGGCAAGGGAAAAGTGACCTGTTAGTTTTGAGTGTTTTTTTTCCACACCCCATCTTGTTTTTCAGTTGTTGCAGTGCATGTGAGGATGATGTGGATTCTGATTCTTTCTTTTAGTTTTCCTCACCATCTCCCACTTCCCTCCTTTTTCTTCTGCCTTCTCTCTTAGCTCCAGATAATTTTGCATGGGTGTGTCAGTGTATGGTGTGTGCATGCTCTGAGGTCCATCTATTCTCTCTGCCCTCTGCTCCTTTCATGGATGTTGGGTGTATGGGTGCTCCTTCTTCCCTGTGGGATTATTATTGTTTTGGTTATTATGCATTATTATTCCTTTCTTTTTGTTAGAGTTGCCTCATTTATTTTCTTGGTGGTGGTGATGGCAGCAAAGGGAGGGCAAGGGTTGGTGTCCTGGGGAAGTCCATGGCATGTACCATCCATGACACATGTGAATCCAGACCCTTCTTCTTCCCTACCTGAATGCATGTTTGTCAGTGTGGTGTGAATCCAAAAAGAAACAAAAGAGAAACAAAAGAGAAAAGAAAAAAGAAAAGAAAAAAGGAAAAATCCATCAACAACCAAAGACCAACCCCTAACAAACCCATCGTCAAATGTATCGTTTGCTGTGTTTCACTACCACCATAATTAACAATCATCAAAAAACAATCATTTTACCAATGAACTGAGACAAGTGATATCGTCTGAGGACAGTTCCATTTTCTAGCCTGACTGAGTAAAGAGTGCAATGGGTAGAGCAAGTAGCTCAGCTTGGCAGTTCCAACAAACTCTGCTAGGAGTCTGCAGGGGAATGCTGCTCTGTGGGCCACAGGAAGGCAGACCAGAAAATGGAACTTGGCTGCACATACCAAAATCAAACCAAATTAGAAAGAATACCTCACCAAAATCTTAAACAAAAGTGAAGCTACAGGTGGGGGAAGCCACTGGATTTTAATAGGACTATAAGGTCATTATTGGGATTTTTTTGTCCCTGTGTCCCTTTACCAGGTGACAATCTCTGTGGATGGCATCCTGACCACGACAGGCTACACTCAAGAGGACTACACCATGCTGGGCTCAGATGACTTCTTCTACGTGGGAGGAAGCCCCAGTACTGCTGACTTGCCAGGTTCACCTGTCAGCAACAACTTCATGGGCTGCCTTAAAGAGGTAAAGTTCACATACTCCATTTAGTACTTTGTCTAAGAAAAAATGAATTTTGCACTTCAGTAACTGGCTCTGTCATCTAATCTATTTTTGAGACCAAAGTAATAGCAGAAAAGAGTTTGAACTCAAAGTAGAGTCCTAGGTTTTGGTCAGAGTTTAAGCTGGTTACATGACCTTGAGTTCACCACCGAAGTGCACTGTTCTTTCACTAATGAGGAATCTAATTTCTCAGGTGGCTGCATTTACAAATTAAAATAACACATATGAAAAGACTTTGAAATCATAAGGAACTATTAAAATTTTATTTTGTACTTTTGATTTGGCACATATGAAGAGCTCTGGTGAAAAGTGGCTCCATTTGTGGTTGCATGTCTTGTCTAAAATGTGTTTATTATTTTACTTTGTCCAAGTTTGGTGTTCCTAAGAGTCTCATTATTTGAGATAAAGGAAAATTCTCAGAATGTAACATTAAGGCCCAGAAGACTGGCTTTTCCTTTTTTTTTTTTACCCCATGAAGACTAGCAGCTATGAGGAAGCAGTGGGTTTTGCCATTATTCATTTATACTATTGTAGCTGATGTGTTGGGACCTCTGTCTGAGAGCAAAGGAGCTTCAGTCAAGTGTAAGTTCAACCACTAAGGTCAATTGTTGAGGCAAAAAAAAATCAGACTTGATTTGGTAGAATTCTTTCAGAACACTGTGTCACCAGAGCAGTATTCTGTATATTTTTGTTTAATCTAAGGTAAGGTGTATTACCTAAGGTATCTATCTATACCATTTCCCTGGGAAAACTTTTGAGAAGGTAACAGTGTTCCTTATTATAGATAGAGATCCCTATGACATGTTATAAGCCTACTCTCAGGATACATGTTTTATTTGTTTAACATAAAATTTGTTAAACCTCACTTATACATGAAATGGCATTGCACCTGTGTTCATTCACACCACTGACTCGACTGTGAGTCGTGTCTGGACAGGAGTAGTGCCTATCACAAGTGGTGTATGATAAGTACCTAATAAGTATTTATTGAATGGATAAACTTAGCAAATAATCATTGGATACCTGTTCTGTGCCATAATTAAACTTAGTGTCTCTTCACAGGCCATGGTCTCTGTACTTGAAGGCTTTATAATCTAGCAAGGGAGAGGAGATCAGGAAGTGGACAGTTATAGTTGAAAACAGTGTATGTTCAGTGCCACAGATGAAATGTTGTAATTGAGTAGAGGAAACTGGTGAGTTTTAGGTGGGAATCAGTGTTGGAGAAAATTGATGTCTGAGCTGGGCACTGCTGCCATAAATGACATGTGGCTTGAGAGGAAGGGGTAGGAAGAAGTGACAGGACAAAGGAGGAAAAAATTCAATTACGGCTTTGTATTGTTCTTGGTCTGAAGGACAAATTACAGATGAGAGCCCAAACAGTGTTTTCCCCTCTCTGCTAGAGATTGCCTAGGCTTCTGCAGACCACAGGGACTCTACTGGTCATTCTTGATGGAATTGCCACAGACAGAACACTTCTTCCATGGGATTTACTCCCATGTGGATAGAATAAAAGCCTAAACTACTCAGTGTCTAATGAACCCTGAAAGGCTCTTAAACACTGTGAAATCACACTATACTGGAATCGCTCTCTCATCAGAAATAGATAGGAACATTTTGTTACCACGTATGTGGCTCAGGAATGAATGAGCCATTGATTGTGGTGGAGAACTCATCCTTTTTTTTTTTTTTTTTTTTTTTTGTAGAGAAACAGCCCTGAGCAGAAGTTTTTCCTGGAAAGGATCTAGGGGTGGCCTCTAGGACCAATCTTTTTCTGATTATTTTATGTATTTTGAAACAAAGGAGCAGTTTCCCAAATCTGTCATTCAGGAAGGTTGCTCTTAAATATTTTGAAGCAAGACTTATCAAAATGTGAAGGTATCTCTAATAACTTTATGCATGAAGAACCTAAAACAGATAAAATAAATTTTCTCTCTCTCACTTCCTAGGTAGAGAGCAAACAGCTTCAAAAGTCACATAATAGCTTAAAAATTAAAGACAGTTCTGAAAAAGTGCCATTAACAGTAATTAGTAATAAAAACAAACACATACCTTAGCTAGCAAGATAAATCTGCATTTAAATCCAGATCAAGTATGAAAAAAAGAAAGTCTAAGATATGAAGGGAAATGGTGGGCACAATGAGAACTTTATTAACTTTTGTTCTATCTCTCCTTTACATATTGTATAGTCCAGTCTTTCTAAGGGACTTGGAAGGCTTTCTTATTTGTCTTAGTGGTTTAAATAGATATCTTTGAGTGTAATGTGGTCCTGGACATTCTTTCTTTCCACTTAATTATTACAATTCACTTTTCTGTGGGCAGGGCTGGGAAATTCTTTTGTTCTTGCTGCTTCTCTTGGATAATTTAGTAAATGGCCAACACTTCTAGTTATGTTGAGACTTTCTCCCACTGATCCATGTTAACTATTTGCGTTTGGAACAGTCTCCAGTTACTTTAGTTTCTTCTTCCTTTCCCTATCTTTGTTTTCTTTTTCTGACTTCTGCTGCTATTTGTAGCGCTAAGTTGCCTTAAGCTGATCTAGGTGCTTTTATATGTCATTTTCTTCAAAATGGGGCCACTGTAAAGGGACTTTGAAGTTCTGGGGCATCTACATGTCATGTGTTGCACAAAATCAGTTTTATATTTGGAACTACAGTTTCTTCACATCTGAAAACTTAGTTCTGGCTCCACCATGATTTCACCTGTATGCACACCTGTAAACTTGATACCCATGTACCAGCCACACCAAAGAGTGTCTAAGTTGTCATCAAACTATTGTGGTTTTCCACATGTCCTGGTATCAGTGTAAGTAAGATTTGTGTCCAGTTAGACATCACAAAGTCAGGATCTTATTCCTCTTCACGTTTTCACAGGTCTGTCTGTTTTTTGTTCTTGTGTTCCCAACTCCTAGAATAGCTCTTGGCCTGGTGGTCTTTCCATAAATGAAGCAGTGGGCCAAAGTAGGTTAATAATAGTAATAAGTAATACAGTAGCTAATAAATAATAATGCAAGAATACACTCTGTTTTGTATACTCACAATTGTAAACCTGCTTTTTTTCTGAGTACAGTACAGTTAAAATTTAAAATATATCCTGACACTGCTTTTTAAGTCCAAACCAGCTATTTTGCTGTACTTGGGTGAAGGACTTCTTCCCCTTCCTCTCCTGCTCATGCAAATACTCTTCCACACAGAAATCATCTCTCTCTCATACTCCAAGGTAATGAGTGAATGATGATTAGTTCTTTGAATAGAAAATTCTTCAGGTGAGAAGGAGGTAGGCAGCAAGAAGAATTTTAAAAAGACCCAACTTTGTATATGACTTTCTGTATTTGCCAAGTGAAATCCCAGGTTTGTAAATTAATAAACACAAAAGCTTTTCAATAAATGCTCTTAGGTAGTTTCTTAGGATCACTAAAAAACATCTTGATGTGGCAGTAGTTGAATCTTTAGGAACCCTTCCCCTTGCCCACCTCTGATATGAGAAAAGTATCGCATGAAAAGGCTCAGCAAGGCTAAGAGAAATGGGTAATAACTTCCTTTAGGAAGAACAGGGTCGAAAAGGCTTTGAGGGAGGCATCATAGTATGATAAAAAGAATACTGGGTTTAAGATTAGAAAACCTGGTTGGAAGTACCAGCTTTCACTCTGGTTCTATGGTCTAGATGAAGCCACCAATTTTATTTGAGTCTCAGTTTCCTAACCCATTATGTGGAAGTAATATGACTTCTGTTATGTTCTCCTTAAGGTCAAATGAAATAATGTACATAAAAGTGAAACCATACAATGGTGTTTTTCTATGATTATTACTAAAGATTCTATAATGCATCTTATAAAACAGTTTATGAATATAAGTGAATATGTATTCACACATGCATAACTCCATATTTTCCATATCAGTAAATGACTGCTTATGGGAAAAAAATAAACCTTTATTGTAAGTTTTGCCCTACTAAAATTTTCTCATCTTTGCTGACGTAGGGCTATCCCATCCCATCTACCCTCAGTTATTACCTAGTTTGTTGCCTCTGTCATTTGTTTATTAGACAACTCTCAATCTCCTTACTGTTAAAATATGAGCTCCATCAGGACAAAATCCTCCTCTGTTCACAGGAGTTTTCTCAGCACCTAGAGGAATAATGCTCTCAGTAATTACGTCTAGAATAAATGACTGAGTGGGCTAACCTGATGGAGCTCTAAAATCTGGTGGATGTTAGGCGAGCAAACATGGACTGAAAACCTGCAGTCAGCTGAGGGCTGTGCTGAGACATAAAGAGGAATCAGGCATGTTTGCTGCCTTAGAGGACCTCACAGTTAGTGGGGAGGACAGACACCCAAATATGATTCACTAAAGCAGTTAATGTACCAAAAGAGGCATTGTCGGGTGCAATGGGGCTGCCAAGCAGTGGGACTTAATATATCCTGGGGTTCAGGAACACTCTGTAGAGGAGCCAGTGTCTAAGGTGAGGCTTAAAGGTAGACAGAAGTGCGCAGGGAAGAATGGAGGGAATGGTGCCTCAGGACAAGGGGGCAGCTTGATCAAAGGCCCAGAGATGGGACACTTCATGGTGTCTGGGTGAGAAATGCACAGTTTGTTGATTTCAGGGCACAAAATGGAATTCTAAAAATGTGGCTATGAAGTAAGGAGGGGCCAAGTCACAGAAAACTTTATTTTACTCTATACCCTTGAACTTTATTTTCTAGGTAATGGGGAGCCATTAGGGGATTTTTTATTATTGTTATTCTGTTACAGTTGTCCCAATTCTTCCCCCTTTGCCCTCCTCCATCCAGCCCACCCCCTGCTCCCACAATCCCCTCACCATTGTTCATGTCCATGGGTCATTCATACATGTTCTTTGATCCCTTCCCTTTCTTTCCACCATTATCCCCATCTCCCCTCCCCTCTGCCACCTGTCAAGACAAATACCATATGATCTCACTTATAAGAGGAATCTAATGAATAAAATAA